ACATTGGTTCTATATTTACAATCACTCAATACATGTAGTTAATGTATTCTATCAAATCGTCAATTCCATGACACATTCCATTGATTAGTTTTCGTTTGCCTAATCATCATGCTGTCTACAACAATCACGACTATCCTCCACGATAGCCAAAGCAGTTATTTCTAACGAAAATAAATGCACAATGGATATTCAATCAACATTTCATTTCCTCATTCTCACAATTAATTATCCCAATAATTAAACAATGTAATTAGGTCAATTCCCATAATTAACATTTCGACCCTTAGGTCCCATTTTCATCAATGATTTAACGTTTATTCCATTTCTCTATGCCAAACATGCATTAGGTTTATTATGGATAAAACCCCAACTTTGTTAAAATAACACAAAAGCCCCAAACTTTCACCAAATTACCAAACCAACCCCAACATCTCAAATACTAAAATTTAAAGACAAAACTCATAGAGAGGAGTAGGATATCCCTACCTCGAAGTTTGAGCCAAAAAGGAGATGAAGACTCGAAGATCAACGTGCTCCAATCCAACTTTTTCAGATTAAACAAAGCTCTCAACACCTCTATCTTTTTAACAAAGGCCTAGGCTAGATTCACACTCTAGGGAGATCATTCTTAGAGAGAATATAAGTGTAGAGAAGAGGGTCTCGGATCTAGGTTTGATCAAAAAAGAAAGTGAAAAAGTGATGTTCAAAACGCTACTGTCCGCTGATATAAAACACGCTCGCTCGAGCGAAGCCTTTGTCGCTCGAGCGACCAGACACAGAAAACTCCGCTCGAGCCAAGAAGTCCTCGCTCGAGCCAAAAACTCAAAGTGCGCTCGAGCGAAAGAATGCTCGCTCGAGCCAACAACTCAAACCCTCAGGTCTGCAACCAGAAGCACGCTCGAGCGACAACCTCTCGCGTCGAGCGAAGAACAAACCAGAACCGTTCGAGCAAGAAAAGCTCGCTCGAGCCAAGAAACGCAACTCTCAGGTCCAGAACCAGACGCATCGTGCAATCGCTCGCTCGAGCGAAGCCACTCTGGCTTGACCCACCAGACACAAACTCAACTCTCGCTCGAGCGACAAACTCCTTGCTCGAGCGAAGGGCCAAAAATCTGGGCAGCAACACTAGGCTCCCAAACACAACCAACCTGAAACAAACCTGCCCAACACATCCTATAACTTAATAGACCAGTTAAGAGGATGCAAACAAGATAATAAACAACTACCAACATCCACGGACACATGTCCGGATCACTGTTCAACAAGGGTAAACCCGGGATCGCTATATTAAATACGCCGACCACGACGTTGCAGCAATATCAGATGAATACAATGAAGGGTGAAGGTGTGTGTTGTTTACCAATGAACATGATGATATTTGTTCTAATTTGTTTCACTGGAATTCCACATTGTTGTTGTATGGGTTACTAATTTTGGGGTTTGTTTAGTCATTGCATACCTTGTGTTGTTAATGTAATGTGCAATGCTATATTTGGGTACAATTATATTGTGTAGATCCAATGTTGCGTTAGGGTCACACTATATATGAAAGATTATGTTAGTTGTTCTGTTGTTCATGGTTGGTACAGTGACATCTATAACAACTGAAAATCACATTAACAGGAATTTTGTTGCTATGAGTTATGGTTATAATGTTAGGAACAAAGTAGGTTTGTTGATGTTATGTTGTCGGTTGTAATCGAAAAAATGCCCTGGTTGGAAGCATGACATTCATTTAGTTAATAAATGTTTGTGCATGTTAATTTTGCAACTACGTCGGCAAAAGCGATGCAATATTTTTGCCTATTTGTTAATCCTGTTTTAATGTGGAATTACGTAGTGTGAAAATTAAAGGTTGTGTTTGGTTGTATTCTCAAAATATAATTCCACCATCTTATTTGCGTTTGACGTTTGTTTACAGTTTTTGAAATATAATTCCACCACATATTTCAAAATAAAACTCTACTCCCTGTTTGGCAGATTTCTCCGTTCATCTTCTCCACTCTAAAACCCTT